CGTGTTTTACTAGAATTTGAGCTTGAATTACTCTTGTAGTGGGCTGATATAGTAGATTAGAGAGAATGATGCCTAACACCTTCCCTCTCCCAATCTTTTGGACCAAAAACCTTTTGGTTCGGTGCCTTACCCAGGGAGGATGGAGTCCCTATCAAGGACTTAAATCGAATCTGTTCAAACCCGAAAATGAGGGCCCATTTCCTCTAAAAAAATGGGTGGCAACTCCAACTCCTTGAGCCGGCCATGAGCTTCTCGGAGCTCATAAGCATTGTTTTCTCTTATGTGGCACCTACATGGCACCATTTTCTCAAAAAATGGCACCAATGCCAAACACCGCCTACATGAGTAAGACTAGGTGGGATTGCCGATCCACCCAATGCACCCAACCCTACCCTGCCAACTACCCACTTAGCACACCCAGTCTAGTCCTATCTACCACCCACCCAACAAGCCCAACCTAGCTCTACCATGCATGCCCACCCACCCACCTAGCGAGCCTAATACCGCCCTACCATGCAACATGCCCATTCCCACGTAAAAGTGTTGCCGAAAACATAGGAGTCTGTCAAGACACCCTGTCTTTTTGAAAATCTTTAAGAGAAAATGTTTTTAATATAAAAAAGGGTAAATTACAAAGACCCCCTATACTATGGTGTCAGTGACAAAGACCCCCCTGAACTTTTACTTAACCTGAAACTATGAAATTTGTAATTCGACAAGTTCAAGAGCAAAGTTTATTTGATTTCAAATACCAAATGTCCTTTCCATCCCCCGAGACCTTAACTATCTCCATGAATGATAATGAATACTCGAAAACCACGACTAAATTCGATGCATAATGATCGCCCATCAAATATTCTTTTACGAAATTGGCACACCTCTCTAGGATCTGCTTCCAGAGCTCCACTCCATTGGTCTTGATTGAGAATTTGCAATTGTCGCATAATAGTCCATCGTCTACTCGAATCTTGTGGTCACCAACGATTGGGTCTACTTTAGTCAATTTTTGGATTTTTGACAGGATTTTGAGGTGTGGTCACTATTGAGGATTCGTTGTTCTCATTGGAAGACGATGAGCGGTGGCCAAAAAATGGAAGAAAAGAAAGATGGAAAGGAAAAGGGGAAAATAGGGAAGGGGAAAGAGAGAGAGAGAGAGAGAGGATGATGGAAGGTTAGCTATCGCCGTTGGTTTGAGTAGAGAAGATAGTGATCTTCACCTAAAAGGGTATTTTGGGTATAGTTCACAATTAAATCAAACATGTGAAATGATGTGTAAACAGTCTGTAACGGAGACTTAACGGGAAGGGAGTTGTGCAACAATTGTCAAAAATAGTAGGGATACTTTAAGTACTGAAATAGTAGGGGTATAGATAGTCAATTTCTTAAACCTTAGGGGTAGTTTAAGAAATTTGCCCTTCTTTTTTATTTTATTAGATAACTTTGTATTAATGCTTTTTTTTTAATTAATTAGTTAATATTATTGTTAAAATTAATAATTTTTATGAGTTGAGGCATTTATTGTGCATAATGCCCATACTACACAAGAGACATATATAAAATAGAGAACCCATTAAAAATGATATAAAAATAAAAAATTAATGAAAATTTAAAATATAAAATATGTTTTATCACTTACACGAGGAAGACAAGCTAAATAGGTCTATATTGACCCATTTTTGAAAACAGTTCCGATTCATCTAGAAACCCGTAATATATACACAACATACAACAACAACAACATTTATCTAACAACTATTAAAAGTTAAGAAATAAATAAAAATCAGTAGTTCATAAATTGAAAAACTAAAGTACAATTTAATTCTATTTAAATATACTTAATATATAATAAGATAATTAAAATTAATAATAAAAAGTAAAAAACTATGAAAAGTAATAAAATAAATCATTTACATTCCATATAAAAATTAATTAAAATAATGTCATAAATACTCCTTAGGGATTACCATTTATGACTTAGCCCAACCTTGGGCTTAAGCCCAACACATAATGTGGGCAATACGGCTGTAAAATTAATAAAAAAATACTAAAAAGTTAATAAAAAGTATTAAATTGTAGTAGCATTTTCTAGCAACTATTAAAAATTAAGAAATTAATATAAATTTGTATTGATAGGATGATTAAAATTAATAATAAAAAGTAACAAATCGTTTACAACTTTGCCTATCCCGATTAGATCAATAAATTTCTATACTCAAGCAACTATTTTTGTTTTGAGTTTGGTCTAGTTGCACTAAGCCCACATATAATGTGGGTAGTAGGGCTATAAACGGATCATATTCAAATCAAATCCAGCTACATCCACATCAACATCTGATTATAAAATTTCTAGATCTGCACCAACATCTGATTATTATTATGTTGGATTTTGAATTTTAACATATAAATGCATATATGTATAATTATATAAAATATCTATGTTTATACAATAATTATACTACATATACAAAATAATAATTTTTTATTAGATATAGATTTTAATCAAATTAGATGGGGCTAAATTCACATCAAATCGAATTATTAACTAAATGCAAGTTCTAACATCCAAATTTGGGATAGTCGGATTCAAAGTCTAATTTGGTATTGAAACATTCAAAGTCCAATGATGGCCCGAGTAGATATTGCCCAAGCTAAGGAACCACTAATAAGATCAACTTGGAAGTTATATGCGTATATGGTAAAATTTATTATATAATATTTAGATAACAAATTTTATATTAATATATATAGAAATGTTATATGTTTTTTATACTAGACTAGAATTAAATAAAAATATTAATTTATAAAAGAAACCATAGTTTTATAATTAACACAAGCAAGCATGTAGGTCTAGACAAATATTATTACACCTAAGGCGTGGCGTAGGTGTTGGAAGGGTTAGGATTCATCATATGGACGGCTGAACCATGCTAGATGGTTGGGCAAATTTTCAAAAATTTCCTAATCATTATGAGAATTGAATTCCCTATGTTTTGAAAAACTACATTTTTTAATATTGGTTTTGCATTGAACCGAACCGGATTTGAAACCAAAGAGGGAGATTTATACCTAATACATATACCATAAACATAGGTCCCAAGGTGGAAGTTCATGCCCAAATCAATCCTAAAACCAGCCTCCACTGAACATGGCATAGTGTATAAGTGAAATTGATTCAGCAACACAGTTTTCAACAAAACTACAACCCAATTGCTTGGATCGAACTGGGGAAGGTGAGCCTAAAATTCCTCTGAATTTTCGTTATAGGGTTTATTGGAAAACAAAAGAGAAGAAAAGAGAACAAGAGAGAGTGGTCTTCTAGTCTAGTCCGCCCTCTTCTGCTTTTATCCTTATGGAACACTCTCCTAATCAAATTAGGAGATTATCCAAATCTAATTTGGATCTAGACGCTATTAAGAGATAAGCTTTACCCTCTTAAGAGAATGGGTGCTTCATACCCATTTCCAAACCCATATTTGACCTATAGCACATGATGACATATTACTTAATCTTATTAATTATTCCTTTAAAGGCCCATGACCCAATACGTCGCATGGCCAACTTAGGCCTGATTTGTATGGCGTGGGACCCCACAATGACCTCACATAAGTCCACATGGGTTCATCCCAGCCTCTATGAAAAGGCTTAGCTGAATTTACTACTAAACGTAGTGAAACCCTAAGCACATCACTATGGGCTCAATATGGGCACAACATGGGCACAACATTTACACCTAAATGATCATTGAATTCAGCAATCCTATGAAGATCCAAGGATAATGGACTTAAGTAAGATAAAACCCATCAAGTAATCAGCCCTATAATGGTCTCTTACACTTAAAATTTTGGTCCATAATGATCAAACACTACCTGACAGGGAATGACCTCTCCCCTAGCTGCAAGGTGCAGTGTCACACTCTCTGCTCGGATGGATCCCAGGAATTAAAACATTTTGCAAACATTTTTAGATCCTCAGACTGCCTCAACATACCCAGGTTTGGACCCTTGATGGATTTCACTAATTGGCATATCAAAGACACCCAAATCCAACACTTAGTGTAGTACCATAATCAAGTCTAAGGGTTATGTGTAACTTTCCAGATTTACCCATCAATCTCCAAAGTCTAAGGCATAATTAGAAAATGGTTTGGGTTTAGTATTTCATTCAAACACACACTGCATGTGCTTTGGATCTAACCCTAGCAGTTGAGACAAGCTGCCACAACTTCTTTGGCAGCACATCAGTGTCAACCTTAGCGGGATAAACTCCCCAAGTCTATCCAACGACTGAGAACATTCTAAACTAACACGAATCTCATAAGTGTCTAATTTAAAGGGTAATTTCACTGAAACATACCAATATCAACATAAAACAATAATGTTTTCTTAAAGGATAATTTCATAAAAGCATACCAATATCAACATAAAACAATAATGTACCACTACAAGAAAATTCACTTTTAGCGACGGTCAAAATTGCCGCTAAAAGTCTTTAGAATTACCGATAGAACCTTTACCGACAACTGCCAAACAGCCGCTAAAACATGTCACTAGAAGTTCTAGCGGCAATTTTTGCGACTACCGATATAACTCTCAAAACTATCTCTAGAATGAGAGTTTTAGCGGTAGTTGACGATTGATGGTAAATAGACAAACGACTGCCACTATAAGTTCAATGACTATTTTGGCATATATTGTTTTTAGCGACAGTCGATATCACCTTTAGCATCAGTTCTGACTACCGCTAAAGGTTTCCAATATGGCGTCGAAAATACATATAGCGGCAGTAAAAAAAAAAAAAATTAGCAGTAGTCATGAATGCTGTTAAAGATCCTAATTTAATTTTTCCCACCTGCCAAAATAATCTAGAATTTTGTCCAAAATCCAAATAACATGTATTTGTTTTAAATTATTAAATAAAGTAGCAATTTCTTTCAAATAAGCTATTATATCTTCATTTGAAGTTAAATGCAAAAAATCAAAACATCAATTACAAATAAAATATAAACATCCATTCTCCATTCAAAACATTTAAGTCACAAATACATAAAATACAACTTTTATCATCCATTCTCAAAAACATATAGTTTCATTTATAACACTTGGTATACAAAAAACTTCTTCTGATTCTCAAAATTCCAACAAAGATGAATTCCTGTACAAAAGATGAAAACAATTGTAAATAAATCTGAATCAAAATCATAAATAAGAAAATATCAATTATGCAAACAAATTAGAAAAGTATTAACCACAATGATCAAAAACTTATGAAAATTAATTCCTGCTAACCAAGGCTTGTAGACAAAAACTTCTTCTCAGTCTTAACTTTTGTGAGATTACCTCTTGGTTTTTGCAGGTGGAGCCCTCTCCAGCTACTGGTACCTTCTCCAAGCTTCAAAGCACCTCAATTGTTTATTTCATTTTCTTTACTGGGTTGACAAAGAATGCTTTTCTACAACATTGTTGAAATTATTTAAGAATGGATTGATGAAATCTGTCTTTTACAGTGATAGTATTATGTCCTTAATTTTCTTGACCTCCATCTTCTACCTTGCATTTCATGTAGAAGGAAATTGTGAACTCCTTTTTTGTAAAATTTTAGCTCTGATTCTTCTGTGAATTCAAATTAATGGCACAGTCTGAAGACAAGAAGACAAAGGTTCTACCTACTATATCATATCTTATCACCATAACTTGGTTTATCTCAAAGAATGATAAGATATCAAAACTTGCAATTGACAAAATAAGCAGAACACCCTATCTTACCACCAATAGATTAGATCTGGATGAGGATTTAAGCTAGAAGTATTTTCCAATTATCTTGTAGCGCCACATGAACACAGGTGGAGACACACCAGGAGCATACCATAGGTAGGTCCAAGAGAAATTGCTAATAAACTCTAATACCATAGGTGGGGACACACCTTTAATATACAGCCTTACAGGAACTAAAGTAGTTTATCTTTTTGAAAGTCTTATTCTTAGTGAATTCTTGCTTCATCACCTCCATTAATACAAATTTTACCATTTCTCAAAAGAAATATATATATGCAAGAAATTCCATTTCGACATTGCTGGACTCCGCTTGCATCTATATGCCATTTATATGTTCATGTAAATAACAATGCATACTATATGTAAAAACTAAATATATGAGATGCAGGGTATATTACAAAAAGGAATTAACCATAGCTATGAGTTGCTTAGTCAAAGAGAAATGTCATGGAGGAGAGAGATAAAAATTTAAACCTGGATGAATACATTGAACCAAATAACTTTATCTTATTTCTATATTTTAGGAATGAATATGCAAGGAGTTCCATTATATTCCTAATGCAAGGAAGGAAATCTATTTTAACTGAATCGAAAGACTGTGATATATGACATACTTGTAGTAACATGGACCTATCATATTCTACATAAAGGCCTTTCTCCTTGTTGCTGAACAAAGGAAACAAAAATTAGTGTCTAAACCAATATTTTTGAACCATCATTGACCTGGACGGTCAGACCGTTCGGCCGAAAAACCGTCCAAGCAACCGGTTCCATATCCGCTTCCCAGTGCAACCCCTATTTTGCATGCAAGATACCCTGACAATAAATTAGCAATGCCATCCCCCTTGATGGGGACACTGTCAAATACACAAACACCTGGAAGGAAATGGGTTGCTCCTAAAGATGTGATCGAGAAAACTGTTGAGAGGATGCAAAAGAGAATGATCAAGAACAGGGAGTTTGTCATGAACTAGGAAGCAGGCATACACCAATGAGCTTGAGAACAAGGTTTCATGTCTAGAAGAGAAGAATGAAAGGCTTAAAAAATAGAAGGAACTAGAAAAGATATTGCCATGTGCACCACCTCCTGAGCCAAAGTATCAGTTTCGAAGAACAAGCTCAACACCTTTTCGATGTGTTTATATGGACGTTTGATTGAGTTGCATGGGTGGTTTTCATCAATTAAGATGCTAGGTTGATACATATGGTACACTACAAAAAGTATTTCAGTATGTTGATTCCATAACACATGGAGTGTGCTGTGAGTACATTACACTTTTTGCCTAATAGCTATTGTTTTTCTATTTTATATTCATAATGTATATGTGAGCTTAATGTATATGTACACGTACATGTTAGTATAGGGAATACACTAAGATACCAAAATATGACATGCCTTGTCTAGCATGACTTGACCATACTAAAATTAAATATGACTTTATGCATTTACTACTTAACCATGACCTAACTACAAATTTAAAAATTGTCATTTGTGCACTATATAGTAAAGCACAAGAAAAGGAAAAATTGATACCATATCATGAAGTTTCTAATATCTGAACCATTCTTGGAACAATGGGTTTTCGGAGGACAGGAAAAATCCCATTATCTTCTCAATGCATATATGAATGGTAACTAGAAGAGCTAATACTTTTTATTTACCATAATGCACAAGACAAAAATCATTAACAAACATAAATTGCATTTAAACATACACTGTTTATAGCTTATTTTCAATTATTTCTTTTCTGATATTTCTTGTATGCTTTGATGAATCTTTTGTAGCTGCACATGGAAGATTTATGCAAACAAAGTGTTGAACATGGGATCCATCTACAACTTCTGGAGACAGTTGAACAAAAAACAAAAGCAAGCCAAACAAAGATACCTTCAAGTGTTCTACAATCTCCAATTTAGAAGCTTGGTGAATCGGTTTACTTTAGGTATTAATTAATAATTGGCTAAAAAAATAAAGAAGTTTCAATAATTGCTTGTTTTCATTGATATTGACATCATTGTAGGCAAATAATGTACTAATACCAAGTGATGAAGCCCAACAACAGCCAGCTCCTAAGCCAAAATCCCAGGCAACACAAGGCATGTTATCTCCATCATAAAGTAACTAAAGGACACTAGTAGGGATGGCAATTTCGTGGGAATTTTCGGGTATCCAACCCGTCCCAATCCTAATAGAACCTGTTTATCAAAACCCTTTAGGGTTTGGGATGGGTTTGGAATTTTAGATAAAAACCCTATAGGGTTTGGGACGGGTTTGGGTTTTGACTTTAGGGTATCCAATACCCGATACCCGGGATGCATAAACATGAACCTATTATATTATATATCATGCACAAATTTATAAATTTTAAGTACTAAGATAATTATTCTATTATTAATATTTTATTTGTATAAATTTTTTGGGATTAAAATCATCATTTGATGTAAATTTGGATTGGATAGATTGCTTATTTCATTTAGTTATAAAATGCTAATTTTAAATATTATTTCTTTTAATTTTTAGTTGGAATTGTTAATCATATACATGTATTGATTGTTTTGATGAACACAAAAGTTAAAAAAATCTATTTTATTTCATTATATAACACAAAAGGCGAGATGGCTTAGTGGCTTAAAGTAGTGTTAAGAGATTTGGTGTTATCATTAATTGATTCGGGTTCAAGTCACACTATAAGCATTAAGAAACTTTTTTTAGTAGAAAACATTTGGTCAAGGGGTTTAACGGGTGGGAGGGGTTTAATGGGTTTGGGAAATTGAAAGGAAAAGTTAGACGGGTTTGGAATCAGGGATACATAGACGGGTTAAGGAATGGGTAGGACAAATTGTACGAGCACCCTACCCGTTGCCATTCCTAGACACCAGCCTTGTGTGTATAAAATCACAGTTAATTATTTGTTTCATCTTTTATTTGAAATTAGTCTGAAAATATAAAGAACAATGACCCCAATGGAGTTTCAATATTGAACTTCTTATGTTGTTTTTTTTTATAAAATTTTGTATTCACTATTTTACATGGTTGTTTCTTGCTTTGTCTATACCAAATGCTCATCTTCTCAACTACAAAGGTAATGATAATCCCCTATCAACTCTACCCTACATTGCTTCATTCTCTCTCAATGATAATCCCCAATCAACCCTAGCAATGGTGTTTGGATTTTACCCTGCTTCAACTCAGAAGAGCACTCTTCTCAGGAATGACCATGTCGTAAGAACTAACAACATTTAATTATCAAAACATTTTGGCTGGTTATCAGGACCCAGAAGTTGGGCCATCATGTGAAATGAAATCAAGACCCAGAAGAGCATTTTTCTTCACCTGTCCCATAAGAAAATTGAATTCTCTTCTCTAACAATAATGGACTGGTCTCATTCTCTATTACTTCCTCTATTTCTCTCTCTACCATTGTTTGGCCTTCACACGCTCCAAGATATTTCAAAACCCAAAAATTTAGTATAAATGGCAATACCTTCAATTACAAGAACTATAAGGTCACTATCAGTAAAACTACTACTCTAAACTTCCCATCTCAACTGATCCTTGATCCCTCATTCAACCACAATTCGAATTCCCAAAACAAGAACAATTCAAGTCCACATTTCTTTAGATCATCTATCAAAATCAGGGAAATATAAAAAGGAAGATGGAAGAATAAAATTTAAAATAAAATTGAAAACAGAGAAGATGTTGAATATTATAAAAGAAGTATAATACCTGTTTATGGTATGGTCCAATAATGACATAATTTGAGATGTTTCAATTAGTTTGCAAGCTCAATTCTGGTTTTTCTCGGAACCCATAAAGTACAACCCCTTTCTTTACATCATCTCTAATCTAAATCTCATCAACAAAGATAGAACTTGCCTTTAACAACCACGACCAATTTGGTCCCAATGTCAAATGATAGTTCCCATAATATCCATACCACAAACTCAACGAAACTGCAAGAAACCCTAGCAACGGATTTTAGGCTTGGATAATCATTTATTGAAACCCTAGCAATGAAGAGAGAAAGAAAACAGCATCAGACGTAGTTGCATAATCATCTAAGGTGCAAAACGATGAAGAAGAATGAATGGAAGGATTTGAGTGGGAAAGGAAGATTTCAGAGATTGAGATTGAGAGAGAGAGAGAGAGACAAAGAATGAAAGAAAGAGAAAGAGAGGAGATTACCTATTTGACACTGGCGTCGTCGTTGGGTGCCGACCAGTTGTCACAGTGGTGAGAGGTTGATTCTAAGAGAGAAAGAGAATGATAGGAGCACGGTGTGGATAAAATTAGAAAAGGGATAGACAAGGGGGAAATTCCAATTCGTGCTTTACACAATTGCCCCTATAAACTATTATTTTTTAGCGGCAACCCACCTTTAGTCACTTTTAAAACTGCCGCTAAAAGCAAATTTGTTGCAGTGTACTTTTATTTATTTACAATAAATATATTTGTACATCAGTCTAATTGGAGATAAGGGCATATAATATTGTGAGCTCCGGGAAATTCATGACCGGCTCAAAGAGTTGGAGTCGCTATCAATTTTTTAGAGGAAATGGACTCTCATTTTTTGGTTTGAAAATATCGATTTAAGTCTTCGATAGTGACTCTGTTTTCCATGGAAAAGGCACACAACCAAGATATTTTGGGTTCTAAGGATTGGAAGAGGGAAGGTATTAGAAACTCTTCTCTCCAAGCTATTGTCGCAGCCCAACACGGGAGTTGTCCAGGCTCAGTTTCTTTCAAAGAAAATAGAAATGGTTGCAAAAATTTCTTAAATCTGGAGGAACATGCTTTCAACATCTCCTAAGACCGATTTTGAGGTGATTTTATCGGGTCTTAGGTACTGATTTCCCTAAGACCCTCGCCTCTCTGCCTTTACTCACAGTCAAGAAGAAATTGCAAGCAATGGTTCTCCAACATTTCAGAACCTCAAGCAACCCAGAAAAACTAAAAAAGACGTACCTTTCGTATGTGCCTTTACGAGAGTTTTTCAGTAGCTAGAAATGAGGTAGAATGAAGTTTGAATGGGTTCTTGAGCTAGGGAGTGCTTTTGGTTGCAGCAACTTCTACTTGAAAATGGACGAGGCGAATTTGGAATCTGGGGTTTAGATTATTTCCTAGTTTCAGGTGAACAAGAGGTAGTATGGGTTGGGAGAAAGCTCCCTTCTCTCTCTTTTTTCTCTCTCTAGGGGACTCCCTCAGGTTTTCTCTCTTCTGTCCCTTCCTCAGGTTTCCTTTCTAGTCCCTTCCCCAAGCTTGAGCTGGGCCTTTATTTATAGAGAAAATGGAAGGAGATGGGTCTGAAATTCGCTCAGCTATAGTGTTTGTGACTGAGTAGAGTTTTTTCACTGAAATAGGCAAAGATTCTTCAAAGAAATAGGTGTACAGTCAAGATTTCTTGTTTGGTGAAAAATTTTCTTCGATTTGGAGGTGGTTTTCATGGGGTTTGTGCGTCCAATGGGAGCTTGGGGCGTGTCAGACGTTGCAGTCTCGTATTTGGGGCTGTTAGCGGTAAAAAATGTAAATTTGATGAACTTTTAAAAGTTATTTTGTCTTTTCTTGGTCTTAAATATGGGTCTGTTTAGTATTTTGAGCTTTTTGGGTCTGTTAGGCTTTGTTTGATTGGCCCAGGTGTTCTAATGGGTTAAGAATGGGTTTGACATCAGTCATCACTCTTTTAAGGCTTTAGGTTGGGCCACATGACATGGCAATTTAATCTGGTGCATCGAAATTGTATATTTCTAATTTAACGGTCAAATGAATGAGTCTGGTCATGAAATTTGGTGTCCTAGGACTTTTTGGGTCTTTGAACACAGTGGTGAGGTCTGATTGGACAAATGGGGTCGAGATGATGGAGATCTATGGTTGACAAGTTCGGATTTATGAGATTTACTGAAATAGAATCTTTATTTGATGAAGGGTCATATTGAGGAATTTTGGGATGAAATTCGGTGGGTTGGCACTTTTGATCATCCTAAATCTAATGGAAGTGATGGATCTTTGATCAAGGGTGCAGATTGATTGATTTAGTTCAGATCATGGTCTTAGCTTATGGTTTTCCAATCAACGAGAGGGTTCGAAATGGAATCTTACTTTTTCATGGTTAAATGGAGGTGTTTGGTCATGAGATTTGACATGCTAGGGTTTTCTGGGTCTCTAAACATAGTGGTAAGGTCTGATTTGTCATGTGAAGTTGGGATGATGGATGGTAGGCTCTAATTAATGAGATTTGCTGGAATAAGATCTAGGCTTGATGGGGGGTTAAACGAGGAAATTTTGAGCTACAATTTGGTAGGTAGGCCTGGATTAGGGTGAGGAGTCAAATGGATGATTCTGATCTGAGAAATGTATGGTCGATCTTGGTTATCATTAAGGCCATCCGAATGGGATCTTGATGTTTTTGTGGTTAGTTGTTGAAGATTCATGGTGGGATTCGCTATTTGATTATTTCCTAGTGATTTTCGGGTGATGGATATGTTGGATTTGATTTTGGAGGAGTTTGAATTTGGATATCGCATAGATCGAAGCCATTAGAAAGGAAGATGGCGTGATGAATGGTGGATCTTTAGAGTTTAGTCATGAAAATTGATGTGTAACTAAGTTATAGTTTTTCAAGACTAAGGATGATGTTTGATCAAGGTTCTTGTTTGTCCTATGGATTGTGTCAAAGGAGGGTTTTTTTGGGTTTGGAAAGTCTCAAGTTGATCTGGTTGTGTTTCAAGTTTTTGGAGTGCAAAAGGGGAGTACACAGAGGTAAGGTGAAGAGACCGAGCAAAAATTGGGTGCTAACAAATGTCTAACACTAGGCTAGGCGAAACAACCTTAAAACTACTAATACACTATCAAAATTTTCAATGGGCTACAGAATGGGTGTAGCCCATCTTTCATTACTCTTTTGGCTTCAATATTATCAAAAATAGTTAAAAAAACCCAAAAATAATGCATACATGGGTTGCACTCGGTTTGGTTTAGTCCAATTATGAATGTTACGATGCATGCAACTTGGGTGAGTTGAGTCAAGATGAAGATCAATCCAAGCCTAATCCAAAGTCTTAAACCTTAAGTTTGGGCTTAGAGTAATTTAATTATGACTAAAATAGTTAACTATAGAATAATTTAATTATAACTATAGCCTAATTTTATATATTCGTTGATCTTTAAATTTTAAATATTTAAGTGATATTTAATTATTTACAAAGATTGAAACATTTAATCATTAATAAATTAAAATAAATAAAATAGAGCACTAAAAAATAATATGGGAAAAATAGTTATTTTATTAAGTAATTAGCAATAATTTATTGTGCTTATTAAAAATATTAATATAATTAATCCAAATTATTAAATTAGTAAAATGATTTTGTAACAAACTTTTAAAATAAAGATTTAATTGATTATATCACTTTCCTTGATAAATCCCATGCATTTCATAGGTCCCCATTAGTAATTTATGGAAAAAATAAAGTATCAAAAAGATTCTCATGGGCATGGAAAGGTATCTTAATTGTCGAGATGTTTTATATAAAAAGGAATATGTAAGAATAGTGGTACACGACTACAGATTTGAACAAAAAAGAAAAGAAAAATTAGAAGAGAAGAGAGATGAAACCCTTTGAATTTATATACATAGTTTCCTAATTGTGAAAGAACTTTAATGCTTAAATGGCAAGATAAGATAATTAAAACTAATCTTAGATAAGATAGAATAGGATTAAAACTAATCCTACTAGGAAATCTGATCCTAATCAAAGACTTAATTAAATCTAAGTACAACTCAAGCTGTCACACGAGTTCACTAATGTGAGGTCTACAGTTTCCTACACTCCCCCTCAAGTTGGGAGTAGATGTTTGTGATTCCCAACTTGCATAGGTCTTCTTCTAACTTCTTTCTTGAAATAGCCTTGGTGAGAAGGTCTGCAAGCTGCATGTCGGAGGTGATGTAGGGGAGACATACTTCTTGAGATGTAACCCTTTCTCTAATAAAATGTTGGTTCACTTCAATATGCTTAGTTCTGTCATGTTGTATTGGATTATGGGCTATATTAGTGGTATCTTGGTTATCACAGTACAACATTAGGGGTTTCTCATAAACAATACCCAATTCCTCAAGTAATGATCTTAACCATAGAATCTCAACCACACTGTTTTCCATGGACCTATATTCAGATTCAACACTAGAACGAGAGATAATATTTTGCTTCTTACTCTTCCAGGAGACCAGATTACCTCTTACAAAGGCACAGTATCCAGAGGTAGATCTTTGATCATCCACACACCCAACCCAATCAGCACCTGTATAGACTTCTATCTTCATGTGGTCATTTTTCTTGAACAAAATGCCTCTACCTAGGGACATCTTCAAATATGCTAATATCCTTTCAACTACAAGGAGATAAGTAGTTTTGGGAGAGTGCATATACTGACTTACTACACTGACTGCATAACTGATGTCAGGTCGTGTGAGGCAAAGATAGAGAAGTTTTCCAACTAACCGTTGGAACATAGCTTTATCTTCAATAGGTGTGTCTGCAGGCTTAACTCCCAACTTTCCTATTTCTTCTAGCAGGTCAATGGCATACTTTCGTTGAGAGACAAAAATCCCATGCTTGGATCTAGCTACCTCAATGCCCAAGAAGTATCGTAGTTCCCCTAGATTTTTCACCTCAAACTCTTGATGAAGAAGTTGCTTAAGAGACTCAATTTCACCAGTATTTCTCACTATTACTACAATATCATCCACATACATAGTAAGCAAAGTTACGAAAGAATCCAATCTCTTAATAAATAAGGTGTGGTCTGACTGGGCCAACACATATCCAAACATATCAAGGCTCGTCTGAATCTATCAAACAAAGCTATGGGGATTGTTTTAGTCCATATAAAGCTTTGTTCAACCATCAAACCTTTTTTTCTATCTCCGTACCAAAAAAACCAGGAGGCAACTGCATGTAAACTTCTTCCTGTAAGTCTCCGTTGAGAAAGACATTTTTAACATCCATTTGATACAACGGCCAAGAGTAACTAGCCACAAGAGATAGTAAGACTCTGTAGTGGTCATCTTTGCTACTGGTGCAAAATTTTCTAGGTAGTCAATACCATATGTCTGAGTAAATCCTTTTGCAACTAACCGGGCCTTATACCTTTCAACGAAACTATTAGCCTTATGTTTCACAGTCATGAGGGCATCCATTTCTGCTTTTATTGCATCTTTCCACTCTGGTACTTCTAATGCTTCCTGTATTGTTCTGGGAATGGGAATATCATCAATGGATGCAAGAAAAGACTTATAAGAG